ACAAATGCATCTGTATTTTGGCCATACATGCTGTCTTCTGAGTGCTGGTGCCAACTGCTTTCTCCCAGTTTTGGTACTGGTCATTGCTCACTCTTTTACAAGACGGGCCTTAAAGAAGTTCTGGGGAACTAAAGACCTGTTAGCCTGACTTTAATGCCAGGGAAGGTCATGGAGCAGATCATCTTGCGTGTCATAACGTGTGCAGGACAACCATGAGATCAGGCCCAGTCATGTAGTTTTATGAAAGGCATATCTTTACCTCCTTCTATGACAAGGTAACTCATGTAGTGGATGAGGGAAAGGCTGCAGGTGTTGTCTTCTTGGACATTATTAAAAGCCTTTGACACTCCCTCTAACACTATTCTCCTGGAGAAACTGTCTGCTCATGGCTTGGACAGGTGCACTGTTCACTGGGTAAATAACTGTCTGTATGGCCAGGCCCAGAGAGTGGTGGTGAATGGAGTTACATCCAATTGGCAGCTGACCATGAGTGGTGTTTCCCAGGGTTCAATACTGGGGCCAGTCCTGCTTAAGATCTTTACTGATGATCTGGATGAGGGGATCGAGTGCACCCTCGGTCAGTTTGCAGATGACACCAAGTTGGGCAGGAATGCTGAACTGCTGAAGGGCAGAACTGCAGAGGGATCTGGACAAGTTGGATTGATGGGCTGAGGCCAACTGGATGAGGTACAACAGTGCCAAGCGTTGGGTCCTGCACTTGGGCCACAACAACCCCAGGTAGCACTACAGGCTGGGGGAAGAGTGGCTGGAGAGCTGTCCACCAGAAAAGGACCTGGGGTGCTGGCTGACATCTGGCTGGGTACAAGCCAGCAGTGTGCCTGGGGTCCAAGAAGGCCAATGGCATCCTGGACTGTATCAGAAATAGTGTGGCCAGGGGGACTAGGGCAGCAATTGTCCCCCACTACTCGGCACTGATGAGGCCATACCTTGAATCCTGCATCCAGTTCTGGGCCCCTCACTATAGGAAAGGCATTGAGGTGCTGGAGTGTGTCCAATGAAGCTGGTGAAGGGTCTGGAGCACCAGTCTTATGAGGAGCAGCTGAGGGAGCTGGGGTTGTTTAGCCTGGGGAAAAGGAGGCTCAAGGTGGGACCTTATTGCCCTCTACAACTACCTGAGAGGAGGTTGTAGCCAGGTGTGGGGAGTTGATCTCTAGTAACAAATGATGGGATAAGAGGAAAGGACCTCAAGCTGTCTCAGAGGTATTTTAGATTGGATATTAGGAAGATTTTCTTCACTGAAAGGGTGATGGTCAGTCATTGGAACAGTCTGCCCAGGGAAATGGTGGAGCCACCATCCCGGGAGGTATTTAAAAGACATATAGATGTGGCATTTAGGGACATGGTTTAGTGCTAGACTTGTCAATATCAGGCTAATGGTTGGACTTGATGATCTCGAAGATCACTTCCACCCTAAAAAATTCTATGATTCTGTGATCATCTTACACCAGCTATGTTATGGCCAGGGACTGGGTTACAGACTAGGAAGAGGAGATGACAACAGGATTCACAGAGTGACACAGACAATTCAGTCTGCAAGCAGCTGGAGGGACAAAGACAATCCTTCTGCCTCAGTTGAAGAAATGCTCCTGGCAGTGCATTGCCTGTGATAAGGGGTCGTGCTGATTGCCCAACAGGCAGATATGCTTGTTGAAAGGCCTGCTGGAAGAAAGTTTGCAGCAGATAAAGTGTGACCTGTGACAGGCTGAACAGGCGCCCACAGTGTGCATGTGAATGCCCCCACTAATCCCTACCCCTTCCTAATGGCTATACACTGAGAATGTCTTCATTGACTGTGAATCCTGAAAACTGACCCTCTGAGACTGAAATGTTCTGAGAGGTGGAAGAAATGGTGAATAACCGATTGACTTATTTTTGCAATTCTTGTATATCTTTAGGTTTTAAAAACATGAAGGAAGTCCCAAATTGGTTGAGTCTTAAAATGCTCACTGCTAAATCTTTTGCCATTGATACATGGAAGAAATATTTTTTAGCATTTTCAAAACTATCATCTAATAAAATAACTCTTTATAGTTTGTTCTGTATTTTTATGAAGTGAAACAAGTGTAGCTTTTCATTTCAGTTAGATGACTTTTTTTATCATTTAGAATAAACTGCAGTATTTTTTTTGGCTGGAGCTGTTTAATAACACAAGTAGGACAATCTATTGAGTACCAGTGTAAGTGGGTTACTTGTTGACATGATGGGTTGTCCTCAAAAGGACTCAAAAACTGACTCTTTAAGAAAATTCCTGAAGGTGTTTAGAGGAAAACCAAAACTCCATAGCCCCAAATTATGGCAATGAAAAAGCAACCCACAAACTATTAAGATTCCCTGTAATAAAAGATGTAAACACGGGTCTAGCTAATTTCTTTAGTAACATTCATAGCTATATCACCAAAATAGATGCAGTCAAGAAGGGAAGTTCCCACTAAAATTCGCTTTTAAGATTATATTTAAAACCTAAACATTTAGCAATTAAATATAGCTTTTTTGTATTCCACCTCTATGATATGCTAGATGGGCTTCCATGGATATTGCATGAATAAGTGGTTGGTAAATCCAATGTATCATCAGTCGATTCGCATTTGTGAATTGGTTGGAGGTAGGTGGATTCATTTGCCAGTGTTCGCATCACAGAAGATTTTACTTGTGTAAGAAGTGGTGAAATAAGTCCTTACATTGAAGGCAAAGATCATTCTTCCCCTTGTCCTCTTGCAGTTGCAGCAGTGTCTAGCAAAGTTGCATCCTCTGCTGTAGCAGTTTAAAGATGGTGGTCTCACTGAAACCAGAAGTTTTCAATGCTCCAAGCCAGAGCTTCACATCTTGTCATGATATGCTCATTCTCCCTGCCTTGAAATAAAGACTTGCTCTAATGGAATCATCTTGGTGTCTGAATATCACAAGGGAGAGAAATCTGTGTAAAGGTATTATTGAAGGTATGTTATGCTTCTTAACAACTAATACTTTTCAAGGATATGCTTCTTCCAGCACACCAGATGAAATTTTGCTGTTTATTTCGAGGCAATGTCATGATAAAAGAACAGATGTCTCCAAAGCAACAAGATGTCATTGTTCTGCTAGTGAAAATCTGAGAAGAATTAAGAGGTGTCATAAAATACTAGGAAAGGATGATTTAAATCAGAGCTTCCGTTCTTGACATCATGACATAAGAATTTGAACATAGAATTCAGTACAATAAATTATTAATGTTTTCTTAAATATCTCAAAGACAGATTACATGTCTAGCATCTTACTTGGAAAAGGGTGAGAAACGAGAAGCAAGAGAAGCAAAAGAAGCAACAGCATGTGTTGGTTTGAGAATCTAGAGATTCGGGAGAGACTTCTAGAGGATCTTGCCTGAATAGGCAATAAAAGTAATGGGAGACACTGCTAATGCCAAAAGGGTTAGAGCTAATGGGATCCAATCACTTACTAAAAATGGGGGGAAAAATTAGGTATAAATAAATAAAATAGTATTCAGTATTTTACCAGCTGTACTGGGACCAGGCTAGAACTGTCTCATACACCATCCTCACAGTGCTGCAGGTTTGCACATTGACTCAAAGAGAATTTTTTTTTTTTCTCTTAGGAAGCAGGTGTCTACACCACAGAAAATGATAATAGCTGCTGGTGGGAGTACTTGACAGAAACTGAAGAATCACACACTTCAGGTACATAATAATTAACAGTGACACTCAACTTCCCTGACATATTTGAAATGGAATTCAGTGGAAATAATAACATGGAGTTAAACGTGTTTGTGTGTGTGGTTGCTTGGGTAAAAGGATGAAGGACTTATTTGATTAGTAAGGTTATATATGTTTCACTACTACGAACAATTAACAGAAGTAGAATTTGCAGCAAGAGACAAAACAGCAATGCACAATTTTAGAGGGCAGAAGGTTTAAGAGTATTTTGTGTCTGCACAAGTTTATAGCATATATATAATTTTTTAAACTGTGGGGACGTGGCAGCTGAAAGTTACTGAAAAAATAGTTAAAGGGGTTGTTCAGTTCATCATAGAAATAATACTACAATGGAGGCATACTGAAGTGATAATGCTTCGTTACGTGATCTAAACCCAGTACAGTGTATTATGTGCATGTTTCCGTTGTTTATTCATCTTAAGAGCCAAATGACTAACCTTGGTTTATTTTTCCTCAACTCTGTTGAGACTGAACATTGCATCAATGACAAACTGCTGTGTACATGGATGCAAACAAAGCAGGTTATTTAGAGCTGCTATGATTGTTCCAATTTCTTTTTAAAGAAGCCAGTATAATTTCATATCTGAGCCTGAACAGAAACATTAACTCAACCAAAAATAGAAAAGTTGTTTGGGGAATAGGAGGCATGAGGGAAAGGAAGCATTTAAATCATCCTTGAGGGATGGGTTAAAACCCTGTCTAATCTGTTGGGAACTCAGACCCTGGTCTGTAGTGTAATCGGTGTTGTCTTTCTTGTTCAAGTCATGTCTGGCCAACGATCTGTCTTCAGCAAGGAAAATGAAACTCACACATCACAACCTATGAGAAGTTTGGTGATACTGTCCTCCCTCTCCCTACTGCACAGAAACTAAGTGCAAGTTAATATGCTACACGGTTTCTTTTCTACTTGTGAGACTAAGATCGGAGTTGTGCTCAAATTTCTAACGGGCAATGCTGAATTTTACCTAAAAACATTTTCTGTAGTGTTTTCTCATGTTTTATTTCTTATGAGGCATATGTGTCATCTAGCAAATGAAAAAATTGATGTTCGTATGATCTAAAGGTAACTATAGGCTCACAGAAGCATATTTATTACCATGAGGAAAGTGACCACTAATGCAAGTTTAAAGCAATAAGTCATATGAAAATAGTTTTAATGTTTCCTAACATCATTTTTTCTCCTGCTCATTTGCTAATTTTGTCTTTGATCAGATCCCTCTTGTGGGATGGGGACACTATATGTGTGGTAACTACAGGCCAAAGTCTACTCACCAGATGCATCTAAAGAGCTGCCTTGTCCCCGGAGAAAACATGGCACACCAACTCAACCTGTGAAAAAGACCTGACAGCTCAGCACTTTTTTTATGCATGTGGTTGGTGACGACAATGCCATCAGCAGATATGGGCACACCGAGCAATACTTGGCCCTGCTGCATCCTGAGACCGTGCTGCCTTCTCTGGGGTGAGAAGGTGGAGAAGCCCAGAAACCTGGGTGAGAAGGTGGGGAAGCCCAGAAATCTGGGAGACTCAGAGTTGCTCCTGTGGCAGTGTATGTTAAGGGCATGAGGCAGGGGTAAGGGAGGAGAAGGGAATTGCACAGTACCGAACTGCAAGTGTGTGGGTAGGTTACCCTTTATATTAGTGTGGGGTTTTTTGCCTTTTTTGTTTTGGTTTTTCTGTTTGGTTTTCCTACCACAAGAAGTGATAGATATTGGCTGGGGTATTAACGTGCAGAACTGCAGCTGTTGCAGGGTTGCAGAACTGTTGCTTAACTATTCAAATGTGAATGGTTATTCGATCATATGAACTAGCAACCTTGTTATGTGAAGCTGACCATCTTTGCTGCTGCACTGGAGGTTTGCCTGATCACCTCTGAGAGGACGAGCATGGGCAAGGTCACAGCTTCTTGGCCATGCTGCTGCTTTGTGGATGAAACACATGAGAGGACTTGCAGCAGGTTCACCAGATGTGTCACAGCCTCTTTTGCTATTTCTGCAGAAGACCGTTATTGATATGCAATGTACAGCATGTGTGTGGAAGCATATGCATGGCATACATTTCAAGGTGTAGTTTATATTGTATATACAACTGCCTGTGAGGGAGTGCTTGCCTCTAATGCACATTCTTGCCACTTTGCAAATTCTAGAATCTAAATAAATTTACTTCCTGGCCTTAAAGGAAAAAAAAGAAAAAAAGGAGAAATATTTTGAAAAGTTACCAGACCAAAAATTCCTCTCATGGTAACTGTCCTGCAGGAGTCAATTTGATTGAAAGGAACTGTAGGAGGTCTGAAGGCAATGGGAAAGATGTATTTTTCAAATGCTCTGTTTAGCAGATGTTAATGACAGTCTTCAGTTGAACAACTAATTCCTCATGGGTCCCTTGTTTTCTTTTTCACAACTGAAATAGCAGTTTTTCTGTACCAGAACAGATCTAGTTGTATTAAACTGTGTGGTTCTTGATAGCAACTGATACACTGCCTGGGAATCTGATAGGTTCAAAAGCAAACTCATGATTAGCCAAAATAATAATTTTTAAATAATTTCTTGTTTCTTGAGAAGCTTGAATTGATAGATTGGAAGGCTTCCTCTGCATGGGTAGTGCTGTGTTTTAAAAGGTTATGTTTTTATAGGCTAAAAGGTAATTTCAAATTTCTATTTTCAGTAAGCTCTAAGTTATACTTTCCCAAATATTGTTTTCATTTTGAACTGCTGCAGTAGTTTGGGTTTTTTTTCTAATTCTATCTTAGGTACATTTTTGAGGTATTTCAACTAAGTTTTATGCTTTATAACTTTTTTTCTGATTAACTGAACTATGCTTTCAGGTTTATATTCTCCAGACATTATTTTTATTGTCGAATGACAAGAGTGATCAAAGGTTCTTTCAGACAGACAATGTTATTTCCAAGCAAAGCTACCTTAACTTCAAAAATAATGCAATAAAGCCCTACTCAGGCTCTGCAAAATTCTCAACATAACAAATAGCTTGGCATAGTTTTAATTTCACATCTGTGTACCTTATAATCAGACTGTGCCTGTTCAAACTTCAGAATATATTTTTATCTACAGGGGTGAATATGGTTGCACTGTATGAAGAAGCAGTTGTGGTGTGAAGAGGCAGTTATAAACCAAGGAAGATTAAAGAAAACCTATACTCAGACATATAGACAATATTTAAATAATTAACTCAAACTTACAAATATCTTCTTTTTATTCCCTACCAAATGTTGGTCAGATTTCTTCAGATGACTCCAAATTTTAATTTCACATTGTCCTAAAGAGCTGTTGGAGAAATTTTAGAAGGAAGTAAGTGATGGTCTAAACTGTGATTGATTACCAAGTGATAACCATAATAAAGAACTCTTTTAGTAGTTTAAATACACTCAGAAGAGCTGAAAAAAAAAGGAGGCATTAGACTTTGTTAGTTATGGATATAGTTATTAAAGATAGTGTTGATGCTCTGTGGAAAATTCTTGGGTGTGATGTGGTCATCTAGATGAAGTATGTGCTGACTCATACAGCTGCACTGAGAAACTGGGAAAAAGGAGAGGAAAGTGACATTGGTACTACCTGCACTTCTGCCAGGACAGTAACGTAGCTGATTAAAAAACCCAACGTACCGTAGGCCATAAAGGACTGTCCCATCTGGATGGAGTCGAATCATTCGGTTTTTCACTGTCACCCCATGGACAAATGATTTCTTGTCATTCTGGAAATATGTGTCCGGCACCCAGAGCTGGTCAGCCACTCTGTTGTCCAGAGTTAGGTTCAAAGGTATTCCAGAATAGGAGAGCCTTTTATCCCTCCAGGACTGCTGAAAGTACATGGTCAGGGTGTAGTCCTATGGAAGAAACAAGAAGGGCTCTTTGTATTTTCATACCGATTAACTTACCAGAAGTTTACTTTTAGATAAGTCTCAGTAACTGAGTTTCAGTAGCAACAGAAAATCTAGGGATCATTAAGGTGTTGTTGTCATTAGCCGTGATCATAAGCCTTGGCTTGTTCAAACCTCATACCACTCACCAGTGGCAGTGACTACCACAGGCTTTCAAAACCTTTTAAGTCAGAGGGAATACGTTTGCTTTTCCAGTCTGTGGATCAAACTTGGGTTTTGATTTTTTTAAACATTTTTTTTAATGTGAAAAGAACAGGGTTTAGGTGACCTCAGCCAAATAGCATTGCATAGCACTGAGGACATTCTTTTGATATTCACTCCCCTTATCCTGATTGTCCCCACAATCCAGAATGGCCAGCAGTCCTTAGACTTCCTCAGAAACAGCAAATATGACCTTAGAACATAATGGATAACTTCCCATTCCCCATCTGCTAGAGCTGCCAGATGCAATGACTTTAGATAGCCAGGCACACCTTGCCTCAGCCTGAGGAATGCAGTCCTTTCTGTCCTTGACAATTGGATTTTACTGCATAGAAAATCAACACCTTTTCTTGACTATCATGTTGTAACTTAGGTGAAATACCGTTTATGCAGCCTTTCAGCTTTCCCTTCATCAGAAAAGAAATTGTTCTAAAAGGCTTCTAGTCTGATTTACGCTGTCTTATCTGTTTTTCTGGGAATTCGGTCATTTTAAAGGTAGTCAATTTTTAAAGTGGTAAAGCTCATGTACTTTGTAGCTGATGGAGTTCTTAGAAGATGACTAAAACAGCAGTATGTGGACTATTAGTATTCTCTTCCTCATCTCTTCCCCCAACCCTGTTTTCAAGTGACAGGTCACACTTACATATTTTTTTAAGGTAGAAGTGCATCAAAATCATAGCTATTATTGAAAAAATTGGTCAGGGGTAAGACTTTTTTTTTTTATGTGATAGAAAACCTTACCTCTGTCGTTCTCACAAATCCTGGCGTGGACTCTAATTTTTGAAGAAACAGCATAAAAACTGTCTGATACAATTTGCTCTCTTCATCTTTAATGGTTTCTTAAGACTGTATCGTTGCCATGAAATCAAAGCAGAGTTGTTAACTTTCAAAAAACCTTTCTACCTGAAATGTTGCATCTAACAGAGCTATGGGCTTATCAGTAAAAGTTAGTAATAAAAATGCTGTTCTTCCTTGTCCTTGGTCTGTAGTAATTTTTTGTATGGATGAAATATCAGTGGTTATATAAGATAGGACAATTACATCCATTGCGAGCACAGATCCCAGATTTGCAAGGACTTCATAGATATGCCCTTTTCCAGGCCTGCAAGACAATTGCTACCTGCAACAAAGACAAGAGGTTATATGCTGAAGGAATAAGTTTTTTTTTTCCCGGCCCAGGCCCTAGGAGGAGGTCAGGACATCTTCTTTGCTTTCTAGACCATGCTGGTCAAGCCTGGAACTACAAAGAAATGCAGTGGAGTATATGCTGTGCGTTGCTGAGTGGGTGATTTATAATTTAAATAGTGGTACAGAGAAACATGGATACCAAGGAGGCAAGTTTTGAATGTACAACTTGAATAGAAGTCGGTTAGAAGCCTCACCTAAAGAGAAGTTAAATCCCTGCCCCTTGTTCCTCTTTGTACAGCAATCATTTGGGAATTGGATGAGAGAAAATGAAAATTAAAAATAAAAACCAATCTAAAAATCAAACAAGAAAAACCCAAATGAAGATGAAAAAAACCCAACATCACAAGTCTTCATTTTTCATATGTTGTATCTGTTTTATAACCTGTCCTACTTCAAGCCACTTCAGGTAGAAAAGCCTTCAGAGATGACTGATAATAGTTAACCTCAGTGCTTCACCAGGTATGCTCTACATCTTCTGCTTGATTCAGCAGAGCCTATGCAGTCCTCAGCACAGATGGTGTACAAATTCCAATTATACACAATAATCTTTTCTCCTTTTTGTTTTCCTTTGTATTTTCACTAGGTCTTAAAGCTGCTTTTGTAGAACTGTCATGCTGTCCTGGAAGAAAGCAAACAATTGAGAGGGCGTCTATGTGATGGTTCTCAAAGCTCAACCAAGACAGAAAAATAGCCAAGGTAAGCTACAAGAGATCTTAAAGGATGTGATGAAGTGAAAGAAAAAGAAATTCTGTGTCTTGGCTATGACTATTAGAAGAAAATGAGTTGCTATTTTTAGCATCATAGTCTGTGAAGAAACTTTGTTTCATCCAGCTGTGCTACATCCCAAATACTGTGGTTGGTAACACCATGGTAAGAGAGAGTGATCCTCTGCCCTGCAATTGTGCTACACTATGGAGAAGCACATGGCAAGCCAGCAAGTGCTAATGAGGAAGAAAAAATTCTGAGCTTCATCCTAAATGAATGTCAGTGTTTCTTAACTGAGGAAATTATCAATTTTTTTCCCATTCCCCAGTACTTGAGGTTGTTAATCATTTAATATTTTAATGAGGAAAATAGTCTGATGTCACGATTGTGAGAGTCCCTGTAGCTGTAAGTTCTTATTTTAAAAAGCATAGTTAAAGATTATTTTAATGAAAAGCAAATTATATCTGAGCTATAATAACCCAAATTCTATAGCTATACATTTTCTAACTTTTTACATGAAATACAGCCTTATCTTTCTCATATCTCATCAGTGAAGGATAAAATGCTGGCAGGTCATATGGCTAGTCACATCTTGGAGGTTTCTGTATTATTTTTTATATTGTACAGGGGTGTGAATGAAGTGGAAATTTAATGACTACTTGTCTTCTACCCTGTAAAATTTGCTGGGGATTTTGTGGTTTCAAGCTCTGGAGTATATGAATAATTTCCGAATCTGTCATATCTGTAGTGGTAATTGGCTGCAGAATTTTTTTAGCTTTTATGAAAGCTTCCCAAGATTCCCATCAGTCTAGACATGGAAATAAATCAGACTAGGTTTAACTTTCATATTTAAGAATTTGTATTCATGAGTTAAAAAAGCAGGGCTCAATGTAAAATTAAAAAAGAGAATCTGTTTCTGCAGCTAACTGTTCTTTTAAATTATTTGTTTTTAAAAATATTTCACCTTTTTTAGAAACACACTGAACATTTTTTGTGCTGAACTGTACTTTCCATAATTAAAAAAAGCTGTAATGCTGCATAAAAATTATGATATTTCAGTAGATTTAATTGAGCTATCTATGCTTTCCAGAAGTGCTTCCCTACTTTTTCAGGGCATAGTGAACCATTAGAGGGGTAATGTTAGAGCACCAATAATAATGCTGTTTTGATGTGTATCTGGTTTAGTGTTGTTTTTTTTTTTATGTAATTTTTTTATGTAACAAATTTTGATTCGTTAGAATGAGATTTTTTTTTTTCCCTTTCTTAGTACTTGTGAAAAATTCCTATTTCTTTGTATCAAACTGGAAATGTGTAAGTGCATGTAACTCGATGTGTACTATAACATATATAGGTATATCTGTACAGTGCTTTAATAAGGTGCATTAGGTTGCTAAGACAAATGCATGCTCTTCCTAGGTAAGAGAGGTTCTGTGAAAATGTGAGTAAGAGAAACTAGTCTATTTTACTCAGAATTGCAAATTATTTTGTAATCTGAATTTAAGCAGCCTCATAAATAAATACTGGCACCAAGCTTCACAGTTCACTTGAGTAATATAAATTTCTTGTAGGAAAGAAAATGAATGGACCACTGAACCATATTGTACTTGAAGTCAGAAGAACAACTTAGAGTTCCAGTAAGGAATAGACTGGACAGTCCCCATAAGTTTCTTTTTATTTCCATAATTTTTTTGTTCCCTATTTTTCTTTTTTTCTTTTTTTTTTTTTTTTTTTTTTTTTTTTTGTGCAATATGTATAGATGATGTAAGGGCAATAATGGATTTTTTTCTTTCCTGTTAAGCCTCCAGGTACCTAGTGTTTCTTAAAGAACAACTGGAGGGAAAACAAAGGAATAGAAAAGTTTCTTATGGGCAAGTACTCCACAGACCAGTATATATTAATACATGTCTTGACACATCTTTTAAGAGCAAATGTAGACAGCAGTAAGAAACAACCATGTTTTCTCTTAGCCATTTCTCTCTGTGAGGCAGCTGAAAACAAGTTTTTGCCAAAAACCCCCAACTAGTCCAGGTGGCTCATACCTGTCTATCTGCATCTGAGGATGCCAGTTAAAGTCCAGGTATTGGCAACTACAGTCCAAAGGTGTTCTAGGTATTATATGCTGCTTCTTGCTGAAGTCCAGGATGTTCTAGGAGTCTTCTCTGAGCTGTGCAAAAACTTGTCTATTCATATGCAGGCATGAAAGGGAATGGTGGAATGACATTTGAGGACTGTGATATTGTGCTCAAGTAGTGCTGTCCTCATCCTCTCCGTAAAGCAGGTTTAGAAAGCACTCCAAGGAAAAGAAATTTCAAACTTTAACTTACATTCCAAAACACTTCATCCAGCTTGGATTTGAAGCACCAATACACAGGAGTGGGACTGGGCATTTGGACAAAAACTGTACTTCCCAGGTTCTTGTGTGGACTGTGTGGAAGATGGTGCCTTACTGATTGGAGGACTGACTCGCAATGAGGTGGGCATAGATCAGCTTTGAGGGTTTACCATATGGAATGTGATGTGAAGACTAAAGCAAATGAAGCCAAAGATGTGTTGGATGAATGCAGCACTTTCAAGTTCCTGTTAAGGCAAACCATTGTGGAAGAGTGAAGAATTAATTAAACCACACTTCCCTTGCTACCTATAAGCAAGATAATTGGAAAGCAGCCTGTTTTCCAACAGTGGTTGTTCCTGAAGTACTTAATTTTTTTTCTTTGTAATTTCCAGCTAGCTCAGCAGGAGTGAACTATGAGACCATTACGAAGTGCCTGAATGTCTAAGGAGGATGACACAGTGCTAAGAGCTCAGAATAATTCCTTGTGGTGTCAGTGCACAGCACTGCAGGTGAAGCTGAC